TTGCAAAATCCAAGTATACCACGTCCACCACCACCCCTCTGTCAAAGGTTTTGCTCACCCCCTCAAAAAGAAATCAGATTTGTTTGACGTCTGTCTTTCATTAATCCATGCTGTCTGTTGCTTAAAATATTTTTTTTCCAGAAAGAACTCATCTATGTGGTCTTTTATTAAACTCTCCAGTATTTCACAACTATAGAAGTTAAACTAACAGGTCTATAATTACTTGGTAAAGATTTTCACCCCTTTTTAAATATTGGCACCACATTGGACTTACACTAATCCAGTGGTACTATGCCAGTCATTAGAGTCCCTACAAATTAGAAACAATGGCTTAGAAATGACAGAGCTCAATTCTTTAAGGACCCGTGGGTGTATGCCATCCGGTCCAGGTGCTTTATTCACCTTTGTACTGTCTAAATATAATGTGACCAAATAAATTGGTTCCAGTGTAGACACAGACAGCAATTAAAACCTGACATAACAGGTTTTGCATGGAAATAGTTAAAAATTGTAAAAGTATGAAATACCTATGTAGTCAAGGGTTTTAAGGACATAATTAGGTTTCCTTTTATATTACGGCATTTTCAGTGTATGTAACTACCCCAGGTGCTTGGAATTGTGAATGCTCCAATATGCTGTGTTGTGGTGCTTCTCCAAGTATCTTAACCTCACTGAATGCCCACTATTTTGATATATACTGTAGCTTCTCTGGCTGATAGCAAGTCTTCAGAGTCTTGACAGGGCAAGGTTAGGTTGTTGATTCATCAACACAGGAAGCATGTGTATTAAGAATCAAGGCTTTCAGGCACCCAGGGTTCTTTCATTGAAATTGGACCTTGCATATAAGCACCTGGAAGTGGTGAATTAGGTTAGCATGTTACACTTTAGCTATTTTTTACAGGTTTGCCAATATATAACTTCTGACTTTAACTCTGCCATATGTTGATTGAAAGCATTCATAGTCAGTAATTGAAACCTACACTGGGACAATCTGAGATCACTCATAGTAAGCAGTATTCAGAATACTTTCTGTAAGTACACACATATCTAAACAACACTTTTTGAGAAGTAATTTGGACCTGAGCAGATGGACAGTGAGTGGGTGAAACTGTAAGCTCTTTTATTTTTCCGTTAAACATATTTCCATTATTGAAACCACAATGGTAGCTGAGATATTGTAATGCAGGAAGTATCCTTGTGTGATTGACCAAATCGTCTCTGTTCCTAATGCAATCTGAGAATTAATTGTAGAGGTTATTTGAATAATTTAGAGTGCCATGTTTCTTTGAAAGGTTTAAAACCTAGCTGGCAAGACAAAGAAATTGGAATAATACTTTAAATACAAGAAATCTTTGAGAAAGAAGGTATAGTTCTAACTTACATTTTTATTACTGCACTAACTTTTTAAAAAATAAATAAGAGTGGAGGACTATTTACCTAGGGTCATAAATTTCTCTTACAGTGCCTGTGAAGTGAAACCCCTAACACCAGACATAATCTTAATTGTTTTATAATCATTAGCCTTTATCTGTTAGCAAACAGGATATGGCATAAATCATGTAATTGCAAGGAAAACTAAAAATAAATATGAAGAAATACACTATTTTGGGGGGTTTTGTAGAAACAACAGTTATTGACAAGAGCTGGTACATATAGAATAGGAAATATAAAAATACAAAAGCACACCAGGTTCAGTAGTTTGAAAAATACCTAATCAATCAACATATGGTAGTCAATTTAAACTAACTGACTTCAAAGAAGAGGGTTATTGTATAACTAATGAGAGCTATACATTCAATTTGTCACATAAAAATTTGTAATAGAAAATATAAGAAGAAAATATGTATGTAGGAGCAATATATGTAGAGATATCTTCTCAACAGAGGGTTAACTTCTGGGCCATCTGCCTTATTGCTGATTCTCAGCTCCAAACCAGGTAACCCAAGTTTTTCAGGTTCCTCAAATATAGCAATTTTATCTTTTTTTACAGCTAGTAGATTTTCATAGCTAAAGTGTATATGAAACAAACAGCTTCAGATGGATTAGGCACAAAAGTATGCTTCCAATGTCTAGTGATAGCCAATTTTGCTGGCACCATTATATGAGTAACCACTGTATGAAAGCAAGAAGTCATCTATTCCTAAGCTTAATGTGGCCAATGTGGGGATAGATGATACTACAATACCTATTCTTTCTGAGATAATTTGAAAGATATTTTGCCAGAAGCTGTTGAGGTTCTTACAGGACCATAGAGTATGCTTCAAATTACCTGTTTGTCCACAACCTTCCCAAAAAAATGATTGTTCTATATACATAAATTATTATGTTGTTATTATATGCTACAGAAGACTAGGAAATCATCTACAGATTTTTTTTTTAATTTGTCAGTTTAAGAAGAATATGTTTACTGTACATCATTGTTAGAATAATAATAGAATAGAATGACTGTAAGCAATTAATGATATGTAATTCAAAATTAGCAAATAGCGGGAGACTAGGGAACAAACAAGGCCTGATTTATGAATCAGCCTGTGGAATGCTGAGGCAATGTTCAAGAGGTAATATGAGTAAGATAAAGCATTATGAGTAAAGGCTCATAATGAAGATTTCTCCTACAGTCCCACCAACCAACCTAAGGGGGTACCTCTGCCACTAAGGGAGCACTACACTGACCAGGAATGTAAGGACACTACACTGACCACAAATGTATATAAACACAATATTCATTGTGTGTGATTTTCCTTTCTGGTTATTATTATTCATTTAATTTCATGATTATTACTGGAAACAATTTTGTTGAATAGGACAAGGGGGTGTTAAAAATGATCATCTTTCAATATTCACTCTGGTAAACCATGTCCAGGCACACACAGTGTGGCTCGGGATCAACCCCACATGAATACCCTCCAAGCAAGCCACTTGGGGGTACTCAGAAGTCAGGGGGAGCCAGGAGCACAAGAGGGGGGCCCCAGTAGAGGAAGATTGTGTCTGCTCTGTGCAAAACCATTGCACAAAGCAGGTAAGTATGACATTGTTGATATTTTGAAAAAATAAAAAAGAACCTTTAAAGTCACAAACATCAACACCTCTTTTAAGTGCCAAATGTCAGAGCCTCAACTGAACAGTAAGACCAAAGGGCTGATTTACTAAAGATGTTGATAAATAACTCAAGTGAATACTTACATAATTTATCTAATCATGTGAAAAGCAAACCCATTTGTACTTGTTTCCCCTGCACATGACTGGATCATTGAAGTAAATATTCACACAATAAATGAAATTGTGTGCAGATATTCAACCACGTTAGTAAATCAGTCCTTTCATGAACAAGGAATCTGCATTGAAAACAAGCATAGGTACCCATAAGGAAGAAAAATATATTTGAAATATATTTTAAAAAATATCCTTCCTAAATATATTAACATATATTTGAAATACTACAATTTTGGCCATGTTCAATATATTTCAATAAATAAATAAATATAAATTTAGGAATTTAGGAAGCTGCAATACCCACTCCATTATATATATATATATATATATATATATATATATATATATATATACCCCAAATATATCCAAATGAAATTTGTATAATTTCTTGAGCCAGAGCTCTTTTTGGTGGTATTTAAAGTGTTACTAAACCCAGGGCCCTGCATTCACTATCTGGTCTCCCACAGTATATAGAACACGGACCTGCAATTATTTTAGTAAATATAAACTACTAAATACTTTTTCTTATCAGCAGTATATTGCAGTCTTGTGACTTCTATCAGTGTCCAGCTGAGAATTTTCATTCTCCTTTGACTGTCCTATGAGACTGCATGACCCCTGGCCCTCTGTCTAGACAGTGCTGACTGGCCCTGTGCTGATCACATGCACCCTCCAAAAAAACCCTTTAGCAATACACACCAAACTGAGCATGCACAAAGTGTCTCCTGGGGCTCTGTACTATCAGCAGATGGTTTGGAGACAGTAGAAGAAGGGGAGGATCAGAGAAGACAGGATCAAACAGCTTTTTACAAAATGCAGAGGATTAACTCCTTAGGTTCCACAATGAGTTTAACAAGCATGCTTTACTGCATATACAGACTGATTTTACAGATGTGGGTTTAGTAACACTTTAATCACCACTGGGTTTTTATTTTGTATATAAATGAAAATATACTGAACATTTTGAAAAAACCCCACCCTCTTTTTATTTCCGTTATACAATTTTGTACATAAATAATTTTTCTTCCTAAATTTAGGCAAAAATGTATTCTGACATTTCTTTGGTAGAAAATAACCCCAGTGTATTATATTTTGTCTGTAGTAAAGTTATAGAGACTATAAACTGTGGTATAGATATTTGAAAATTGATCAATCTTGATGTACTGACGGCCTATCACTTGAGGCCCTAAAATGCCAGGACAGTACAAATACCCCCAAATGACCCCAGAGGTATTTAGTAAGAGTTTTGTTGAGTTTTATGCAATTTTTTTTTTGTCACTTTTTGTGTAAAATGAAGACATTAACCACTAGCCTACAGGGCACTTATACCCCCTTCCTGCCCAGGCCTATTTCCAGCTTTCAGCGCTGTCGCACTTTGAATGACAATTGCGCGGTCATGCAACACTGTACCCATATGAAATTTTTATCATTGTTTTTGTGACAGATAGAGCTTTCTTTTGGTGGTATTTAACAACCTCTGGGTTTTTTCTCCTAAACTAACCAAAAACCACTGAAAATTTTGAAAAAAAAAGTTTTTTCTTAGTTTTTGTTATAAAATTTTGTAAATAAGTGATTTTTCTCCTTCACTGATGTGCGCTAATGAGGCTGCAGTGATGGGCACTGATAGGCTGCACTGATGGACACTGATAGGTGGCACTGATGGGCACTGATAAGGAGGCACTGGTAGGTGGCACTGATGGGCACTGACAGGCATCACTGATGGGCACTGAAAGGCAGCACTGATACATGGCACTAATATATGGCACTGATATATGGCACTGTTAGGCGGCACTGTCTGGCACTGATAGGCGGCACTGACTGGCACTGTTAGGCGGCACTAACTGGCACTGATTGGCACTGATTGGTGGCACTGACTGGCACTGATTGGAGGCACTGACTGGCACTGATAGGTTGCACTGATTGGCAGCACAGCACTGATATCTGGCACTGATTGGCATTGATAGGTGGCACTGACTGGCACTGATGGATGACACTGAAAGGCAGCTCAGATGGGCACTGATATGTGGCATTGATGTGCACTGGTATGCACTGATATGTGGCATTGATGTGGCACTGACACACTGACAGCTGGCACTGATGGACTTTGACAGGTGGCACTGCTGGGGCTACACAGATCATCAGGGCACACTGTGCTTGTCCCCTCTGCGGAAAGCCGATTACCGTCTCTCCTCTCGAGCTGTCAGCGTGACAGCTCGAGAGGACAGAAATGCCGATAACCGGCATTTCCATGTTTACATGTGATCAGCTGTGATTGGACACAGCTGATCACATGACCGAGCCAACATCTTCGGCTCTTTCAGTGATCAGTGATCCGCTGTGTCCGAGGGACACAGCGCACCGCCGATCGCCACGCTGCGCACTCCCTGAGCCACGCATGCACGGTGAGAATGGGAGTACGTCATATGATGTCCTCTCAGAACAAAAGAACCAACCTTGCGAGAACCACCTTGCGCCCGTCATTGGACTATATGGCGGGCGGGAGGTGGTTAAATAAAATGTTTTTGTTTCAAAATTTCTTTTTACATACTGTCACCAGAGCAGTACAGCATCATCATATGACTGGTGTGGCAGTGATTAGGGATACTGGTGACAATCTGTAAAAATAAATAGATAAATAATATATCTTTTTCAATTTCTTTACATACTGTGCCCAGAGCAGTGCAGTGTTACTATAGTGACACTGTTCTACTCTGGGGAAAAGATATAACAAAGTGATCCTAATAACATACTGTCAATGAAAACACAAATATAGATCAAATTGCAATGGTGCCCTGTGCTCACATTCAAACACGAATCCAATATAGATACAAAATAATAATGGTCAATAAACAGATTCTCATGACATATCAATAATAAAATGTTTTCCTATTTCGGGCAATTCATATCTATGCAGTCCACACAGTGCGTTTTGAAAAAGGGTTGTGTGCTTGTTTGGAGTGATGTGATCCGAATTTGTCCTCAACAGAGTTGAATGCAAAATGTTTATATGTTCAAATGTAATGCGATTCCAATGCGTTTTAATTGTTTGTAATGCAATGTGATTCCAGTGCATTTTAATCAGTTGTAATGCAATGCGATTCCAAACGTCAGCTGTGTTGAGGGGAGAGAGCTGCAATGGCACAATCATCTTTGCAAAATCTCTTTCTTTGAAGAAACTCACACCGCTTTAGTGTGAGCCTAGCCTAAAAAGCATGCAAAACTGCATCATTGTGAACAGAAATATTGCACAAATAATAATTTATGGCAACTAAAATTGTAGTTTATTCAAAAATATGCAGATATATTTTTGACCTGTTGAGAATTTGAATATATGTTTATTGCCACTGCAGTTCTGCATAAATTATTAAAGAGCATTTTAAAAGAAAGAGTTATTGGATTATGTTATACCTGCAAGCTTTACTTCATGAAGAAAGACTTTTGTTTTAATTTTAGCTGTAACTAAAAAAGAAACCTGATGCAACTATTGTTACTTCAAGTGATTTTTCTATTTTTTTACTTCCTTTTATGTCATGGGACATCCTGTTTAGAATCCTATGAAAAGCAATCCCTGTCTATTGAAATACAGAACCAAAAGTCATCATTACTTTGAAAGGTAGAATACAGGTTAACTTGACAATACAGACTAACACTGCTAGTAATAGTTGGAAATATATATATATATATATATATATATAATTTTTTTTTTATTTATTTATTTTAATTGCAAAGTTGTACTTTGTATATCCAGGGGTGTGGGCTTGTTGCCGGTCTGTCTTGGGTGGGCTCCTGGCTGGCTGTTGAATAGCTTACTGTCAATTAAATCACTGTTTAACCACTTCCCAACAGTCCACCCGGAATGTACTGAACAGGATCACATGATCACAATGTGAGCAAGGCTGTTATGAATCAATCTCATTCATAACAGCTCTGCTTTTCTTCCTAGTAATCTGTGAATGGCCCACAGCTGTCACATGATACATGAGGCCAATCACAGCACCCTGTACCATGTGACCAGCCCCAGCCAATCATAGATCACTATCTTGAGTTGTCAAAAACCTAACTCATTCATGACAGTTCATGAATGAGTTAGCTTTGTGACAGCAAGCTTTGCATTGCAGAAGAAATTATCTTTATTTCTCCTGCAAAGCAAAGTGTAAAAAAAAGAATTAAAAAAATCCCTGATTAAACACCCCCCATGCACACATTAGTACAATGTTACTATGGTAACATTGAACTATTCTGATAAAAGTATTTTTTTTTTTAATTAAAAAAAATAATAAAAAATACAATATCGAGAATAAAAAAAAAAACCTTTTTGATTTTTTTTTGTTAACTACTTGGTGACTGCTTACCCGCATTTTGCAGGTGAGCAGCAGCTCTGGGCAAAGCGACGTAATCTTGCATCACTTACTCTTTTGGGGTGTGAATGTGTCTGCACCCCCCAGCTGACCCCCCCTGTTGGTCCAGGGAGAGAATGAACACAGCACCAAGTAAAAGCACTATATTATACACTCACACTTAGATTAGCACATTTAATCTTTTGATCACCCCTATTAACCCTTTGATTGCCCCGTCACCCAGCCAGGGCCATTGGTACAGTGTCAGTATATAGAATTTTTCACTGATCACTGTATTCCTGCCACTTGTGACATCAGATAGTTTCCGAGTCAGTTAGTGCCCCTCCCAGCAAGGGTCAGCTAGTGTTAGATTGTACACTATCACACTCATGCTATATGTCGCTGGTCAACCCCATTATTAGTATAGTGTTTGTACGAATCAAGATATTGCTCATAAACAGAACTATACTAGTGCCTGCTTTGTATAGTGTTCCCAAAAATGCAGTGTTAGAAGGATCAAACCCATTCACTGTCAGCACTAGCGTTTTAGCACTGTTTTTCATGGAAGATTTGTTCCAGTTGTTTGTGGGCCAAGGCAATTTATATGCACAACAATACATGACTGCCCACCCAAATTCAGCTCTTGCCAGACAATTCACATGGAAGACTATCACGGTTTCTGAATTTAAAACTTTTTTGGGCCTAACCCTCAACATGGGCATTAAAAAAATGAGTGAATTGCAGTCATATTGGTCCACAGACCCGTTTCATCATATCACATGTTCTCTGCTGTTACATATATGTTGAACATGGACCAGCAATGTACTGGTACATTGCTGGATTTTGAGTGATTATACTGGGATTATGCCTGGAGCTCATCCTGGTATTGCTTTTTTCAGCTGGCGGTCGACTTTCATGTAAAAGCAATCATAGTGGCCAATTAGCTGCTGAACCATTGTTACCAGCAGTGGGAAGGGACACCCCCCTTCCCCTGCCGCCTTCCACAGTTTTCTTGGTCTCTCCTGTCCCACAGGGGAATCCGAGAATGCAACCGGCAGTTCCGCTGGCTGACTATAGAGGTGATCAGAGACCAGAATGGCTCCAATCCTCTCTATGGCCTAAGAAACCATAAGCTACGAGCATTTCATAATTTCCGTTTCGCCGGACTTTAACAGCGCCATTTGTAAATTGGTAAGCATCTGATCACACCAATTTTGGTGAGATCAGATGATGTAAGGGCAGAGGAGATATCTAGAGTCTAACAGACCCCAGATTTCTGAAAAATTAATACCTGTCAATGCCTATTGCAGTCACAGGGGACATTTACATTTCCTGCAATAGCAATAAAAGTCATAGAAAAAAAAAATTAAAGGGGCAGAGTGTAAACAGATTTTGTACCATGCATGTGAGGTATCACTGTGAACGTCAGATAAAGGGCAGTAATTCTGGCACTAGACCTCCTGTGTAAACATAAATTGATAACCTGTAAAGGCTTTGAAAGTATCGCTTATCGGTATTAAAAATGTATGTACTTTGTCGCCATTGCACGGGCATGCACAATTTTAAAGCATACCATGTTTGGTATCTATTTACTCAGAGTAACATAATTTTTTATATTGTATCAAACAATTGGGCAATATATTGTGCTTTGTGCTTTAAAATTCTAAAAAGTGTATTTTCCCCAAAAGATTTGCGTTTGAAAAATCGCTGTGCAAATACTGTGTGAGGTAAAAAATTTCAACACCCACTTTTTTATTCTCTATGGACTCTGCTTTAAAAATATATAATATTTAGGGGTTCAAAGTAATTTTCTAGCAAAAAAAAGTGTTTTCATGTGAATAAAAAGTGTCAGAGGCTTGGTCTTTAAGAGTGGTTGATGTGTGGCATAAGCTTCTAATGTTGGCCCTGAAATGCCAGGATAGTAAAAGCAACCCCTCCAAATGACCACTTTTTGGAAAGTAAACACTCCAAGGTATTTGATAAGGGGCATGGTGAGTATTTTGCAGATCTAATTTGTTGCCACATGTTTTTGGAAAACGAAGCAAGAAAACAAAAATATATTTTTTCTTTTTTTCTTTTTCAAAACCCTTTGACAAAAATGCTATTTGTAGAATATTCACCATGCTTCTTATCAAATTCCTTGGAGAGTCTACTTTCCAAAAAGGGAAAAAGGGGTCATGGGGGGGGGGGGGGGGTTTGTACCATCCTGCATTTTAGAGCCTCAGAACCTGTGATAGGTAGTGAGGGAGTGATATGAGGAAATGTGCCCTTTCAAAGCCTGGTGGTGGTCATTGGATTTTGGGGGCCTGTATGTAGCTAGGCTGCGAAAAAAGCCTCTCACATGTGGTATCCCCATACTCACATGTGTTAGTCCACATATACCTATGGCATGCATGAGCAATATATCATTGAAGTGACTTTGTGTAAAAAAAAAAAGACGTAGCAGAATACATTTTGGCCTAAATGTATGACTAACTTTGAGTTTATTGGATATTTTTTATAATTAAAAGTGAAAAATATATTTTTTTTTCAAAATGTTTGGTCTTTTTTTTGTTTACAGCGCAAAAAGTAAAAACCGTAGAGCAGGGGCGGACTGACAACTCATGGGGCCCCCGGGCAATAGGGGATCATGGGGCCCCTGTGTCCTTGCCCAAAATAAAAAAAGCCTATGAAAAAGGTACCAGGGGCATCTCATGGGGCCCCCTACTGACCCCAAGGCCCTCAGGCAATGCCCGAGTTTCCAAATGGTTAGTCCACCTCTGCCGCAGAGGTGATAAAATACCACCAAAAGAAAGTTCTATTTGTGTGAAAAAAGGACATAAATTTAGTTTGGGTGCGTCATTGCATGACCAGTTGAAATGGCACAGTGCGGAACAACAAAAAATAAACTGGTTATGAAGGGGGTAAATCTTTCGGAGGGCAAGTGGTTAGATGTTAGCTACTAGCTGTTGATTAGATGTACTGATGATATTACTGTTTACAGTACAGTGTGCATTATCTAGGATAATGTGATCAAGCTCTTAGCTAATTCTGTATGGTAGAAATTCTGTGTGAGTTGACAGTAAAGGGAGCTCCAGTT